TTAAATAAAGTTTTATGTTTCACCTCCTCAGTGTTTAAATAAAGTTTTTCTGTCCCCCTCCTCAGTGTTAAATAAAGTTTTCTGTCTCCTCCTCAGTGTTTAAATAAAGTTTTCTGTCTCCCTCCTCAGTGTTTAAATAAAGTTTTCTGTCCCCCTCCTCAGTGTTTAAATAAAGTTTTCTGTCCCCCTCCTCAGTGTTTAAATAAAGTTTTCTGTCTCCCTCCTCAGTGTTTAAATAAAGTTTTCTGTCTCCCTCCTCAGTGTTTAAATAAAGTTTTCTGTCCCCCTCCTCAGTGTTTAAATAAAGTTTTCTGTCCCCCTCCTCAGTGTTTAAATAAAGTTTTCTGTCTCCCTCCTCAGTGTTTAAATAAAGTTTTCTGTCCCCCTCCTCAGTGGTGGTTTACTTCGGCGGGCGTCGGGAGGGCGAGAGCTGGAACTGGGCGTGGCTTATCAGCACCCGCCTGGCGCGTCACATCGGGTACCTGGAGCTGCTGCTGAGGCTGATGTTTGTGAATCCTCCCGAGCTGCCGGAGCAGAGCACCCGGGCGCTGCCCGTCAGGTAACCACGACGCCGGCAGGGTCGCACTCAGGGTTAAAGAAACACACACTGATGATGTCATCACGCGTCCCCGCAGGTTCCTGTTCACCGACTACAACCGTCTGTCGAGCGTCGGAGGAGAGACGTCGATGGCCGAGATGATCGCCACGCTCTCTGACGCCTGTGAGAGAGAGTTCGGCTTCCTCGCCACCCGACTGTTCAGAGTGTTCAAGACGGAGGAGACGCAGGGTAACACACACACACACACACACAGTAACACACACACACACAGTAACACACACACAGTAACACACACACACACACACAGTAACACAACACACACACACAACAAACACACACACACAGTAACACACACACAGTAACACACACACAGTAACACACACACAACACACAACACAACACACACACAGTAACACACACAGTAAACACACACAGTAACACACACACACACACACACACACACAGTAACACACACACAGTAACACACACACAGTAACACACACACACACAGTAACCACACAGTAACAACACACAGTAACACACACCACACACACACACACACAGTAACACACACACAGTAACACACACACAGTAACACACACACACACAGTAACACACACACAGTAAACACACACAGTAACACACACACACACACACACAGTAACACACACACACACACACACACACACACACACACACACACACACACACACAGTACACACACACAGTAACACACACACACACAGTAACACACACAGTAACACACACACAGTAACACACACACAGTAACACACACACAGTAACACACACACACACACACACACACAGTAACACACACACACACACACAGTAACACACACACAGTAACACACACACAGTAACACACACACACACACACAGTAACACACACACAGTAACACACACACACACACACACACACCAGTAAACACACACACACACACACAGTAACACACACACACACAGTACACACACACAGTAACACACACACAGTAACACACACCACACACACAGTAACACACACAGTAACAACACAACAGTAACACACACACACAGTAACAACACACACACACACACACAACACACACAACACACACACACAGTAACACACACACACACACAGTAACACACACACAGTACACACACACAGTAAACACACACACAGTAACACACAACACACACACACACAGTAACACACACACACACACACACACACACAGTAACACACACACAGTAAACACCACACACACACACAGTAACACACACACAGTAACACACACACACACACACACAGTAACACACACACAGTAACACACACACACACACACACACAGTAACACACACACAGTAACACACACACAGTAACACACACACACACACACACAGTAACACACACACAGTAACACACACACAGTAACACACAACACACACAACACAGTACACACACACACACACACACACACAGCAACACACACACACACACACAGTAACACACACACAGTAACACACACACAGACACACACACACACACACACACAGTAACACACACACACACACACACACCACACACACACACAGTAACACACACACACAGACACACAGTAACACACACACACACACAGTAACACACACACAGTAACACACACACAGTAACACACACACACAGTAACACACACACACACACACACACACACACAGTAACACACACACACACACACACACACACAGTAACAACACACACACACACACACAGTAACACACACACACAACACAGTAACACACACACACACACAACACACAGTAACACACACAGTAACACACACACACACAGTAACACACACACACACACACACACACACAGTAACACACACACACACACACACACACACACACACAGTAACACACACACAGTAACACACACACAGTAACACAACACACACACAGTAACACACACACAGTAACACACACACACACACACACACACACAGTAACACACACACACACACACACACACACAGTAACACACACAGTAACACACACACACACACAGTAACACACACAGTAACACACACACACACAGTAACACACACACACAGTAACACACCACACACACACACACAGTAACACACACACACACACAGTCACACACACAGTAACAGACACACACACACACAGTAACACACACAGTAACACACACACACACACAGTAACACACACACAGACACACACACACACACAGTAACACACACACACACAGTACACACACACACACAGTAACACACACACACACACACACAGTAACACACACAGTAAACCACACACACACACACAGTAACACCACACACAGTAACCACACACAGTAACACACACACACACACACACACACAGTAACACACACACACACAGTAACACACACACAGTAACACACACACAGTAACACACACACACACATACAGTACACACACCACAGACACACACACACACCACAGTAACACACACAGTAACACACACACACACACACAGTAACACACACACAGTAACACACACACACAGTAACACACACACACACACACACAGTAAACACACACACACACACACACACACACACACAGTAACACACACACACTAACACACACACAGTAACACACAGACACACACAGTAACACACACACACACACAGTAACACACACACACACACCACACACACACACACACACAGTAACACACACACAGTAACACACACACACACACACACACACACACACACACACAGTAACACACACACACACCACACACACACCACACACACACACTGACACACACACACAGTAACACACACACAATAACACACACACACACATCATGACACACACACACACACACACACACACACACACACACAGTAAGACACAGTAACACACACACCACAGTAACACACACACACACACAGTAACACACACACAGTAACACACACACAGTAACACACACACCACAGTAACACACACACACACACAGTAACACACACACACACACACCACACACACACACACACTAACACACACACACTAACACCACATAACACACACACAGTAACACACACACACACACAGTAACACACACACACACACACACACACACACACAGTAACACACACACACTAACACACACAGTAACACACAGACACACACAGTAACACACACACACACCCAGTAACACACACACACACACACACACAGTAACACACACACACACACACACAGACACACACACACAGACACAGTACACACACACACACACAGTAACACACACACACACACACACACACACACACACACACACACACATAACACAACAACACACACAGTAACACACACACACACACACACACACAGTAACACATTCACATTCATATCACCAACCATAAAAACACTACTCGACTGATTGTCATGAATAAAGACTGTTGAAGTACACATCCTCCTGTTCCTGACACTCAGAAGGTGTGTATACTTTAACAATAGTGAACACTTTGTTATCAATCTTCAACTGCACAGCAACACACCAGTCAACTCCAGACCGTATTCCATTTATTACAGGGTGCAGCTTTCTATGCCATAGGATTGCCACACCACCTGCTACCCTTCCTCTCACTATTCCCAAAGTCAGATCTGTGGTGGATTCACAGCTCCATGGAAACTGTCATTAAAAGAGTTTAGTTTCCTCAGGTAAGAGGAAGTGGAAGAAGACGTGCTGCGTCCCGTCCTTCATCCTCTTCGTCCTCGTGCTCGCCTGCCTGCTCACGGGAATGGCGCTGCTCGCCGTCTTTAAGGTGGACGGGGATAACCACACGGTGAATGGCGTGCTGATCTCCATCGGCAGCGTGGTGGGCCTGGCGCTGCTGCTGAACGTCAGGACGTGGTGGCAGGTCACCGACTCGGTGCTCAACTCTCAGAGGAAGAGGCTCCACGGCGCCGCCAACAGGATGCACAAGCTGAAGAGCGAGGGCTTCATGAAGGTGAGACTCACACCGTGTGGTTAACCATGAACACACAGCAGCACCTGTGACGTGATGATGTCATCCCTCAGGTGCTGAAGAACGAGGTGGAGCTGATGGCGAGGATGGCCAAGACCATCGACAGCTTCACGCAGCATCAGACGAGGCTGGCCGTGGTCATCGACGGGCTGGACTCGTGCGAACAGGACAAAGTGCTGCAGATGCTGGACACGGTGAGGGGGCGGGGCTTATCAAGGGTCAGATGTAACGATTGGTCCGGGTCACTCAGGTGTGTGTTTGTGCTGCAGGTGCGCGTGCTGTTCTCCAAAGGCCCGTTCATCTCCATCTTCGCCAGCGACCCTCACATCATCATCAAAGCCATCAACCAGAACCTAAACAGCGTCCTGCGGGACTCCAACATCAACGGGCACGACTACATGAGGAACATCGTGCACCTGCCCGTCTTCCTCAACAGCAGAGGACTCTCCAGCGCCAGGAAGATGTGTGCGCCGGCGCCCGCTAACGGGGACACGGCCACCGCCACCGCAGATGGTAAAACCAGTTTGATTCTATCATTCTGCTGTTAGATAACCCCGCCCCTTTCTTTGGCCGTGCCCTCTTCTCCATATATGGTCACTTCTGGCTCTAGAGAGACAGTCACCAAACTGATGAGTGACATTATTTATTTATCTGTGTGTGTGTGTGTGTGTGTGTGTGTGTGTGTGTGTGTGTGTGTGTGTGTGTGTGTGTGTGTGTGTGTGTAGGTTGGCATGAGGAGTTGGACAGGAAGTTGTCTCAGCACAGTCTGGGAGAATTGACGAAGTTCGGCAGCAAGACGACGCTCAACCGCAGGGTAAGTGTGTGTGTGGTGTGTGTGTGTGTGTGTGTGTGTGTGTGTGTGTGTGTGTGTGTGTGTGTGTGTGTGTGTGTGTGTGTGTGTGAGTGTGTGATTAGAGGTGGGCGATATGGGAAGAATATCTAATCACGATTGAATTCATACTGATCTTGAGACTAATTTGTAAGTTTCAGTTCAACCGAACTTATTTCCCTCTATAATGTTTATAAATGCACAAAAACTGTGCAGACAAGTTTAATCTGCACCACTTTGAAATGATGATTTAGTTATGTGTCCTCTTTTTATGTTCATCAGGAACATTTTCACACAGTGATGCATTCATTTAAAAACATAGACTTTGAGTTCTTGTGTTTCTGTTCTGTTTTAGCCCTGCAGAGTTCCTCCAGCTGGAGCTTCATACAGGCTCTGCAGACTTTGTTGTTTTTATGACATCATTGGACTAACTTTAGTTTATATATAATCAAACATAATACAGAATGTGTTCATTCTGTGACACATGATCAAAGTAAAGTTTTACTGACAGAAGAGTTGAATTCATAGAGGGGGCGGGACATTGTTGATTGACAGACAGACAGTCACCATGGTTACTCACTCTCACCTGCCTGCTGCTTTGTAACGTCGTTTAGTGTAATCCCTGTAGGTTCAGTTATCACAACAGGTGAGCTTCAGGTGGAGAAGCTTGATAATAACTTTTAAAAACTGAGAGAGCAGAAAACACCGACAGCAACATTTGAAACACCGGGGTTATATCTCCCCTCACTGTCTGTCTGAGCTCCAACCTGTCTGTCTCTCTGCAGACTGTTAACGTCTCTCCGTGTCGCTATCCGAGATGTAAACTTAACTGTGCACACTATGCAGAGAAGTTAACTGTTGCTCACAGCGTGTCGGTTTGGAAAAATATCAGAACAGTTGCATATAAACGGGATGGAGTTGTTTTTGCGGAGTTTACTTTTCTAAAGTTTTCTAAAGTTTAGTTTTCACCGCTGCGGAGCAAAAGAGGGGGAGACGCGTCTGTGTCGCAGCATGATAAAATAAACACATTAACCCGGTTCTACGATCTCTCTGATTTGGCAGATCGTTAGCAAGTTAAAATCCTTCATGATCTAAGATCGTTATATCGCCCACCACTAGATGTGATCATGTGATTTTATGACAGCGTCTTGTTTTAGTCGATCGTTGTTGGATCGTTGACGTGACCTTCTCTTTCAGGACACGTACCGGCGGCGGCAGGTGCAGCGCTCCGTGACCCGTCAGATGTCGTTTGACCTGACGAAGCTGATGGTGACGGAGGATTGGTTCAATGACATCAGCCCGCAGACCATGAGGAGGCTGCTCAACATCGTCTCTGTCACAGGTCTGATCGTCCATTTAGGGCATCAATAAACAGACCTGACACATCGAGCACAGAGTCAACGATCACAGAACAAGAAACAGGAAGTAAACAGACTGTTTGTCCAATCAGGTCGTCTGCTGCGAGCCAATCAGATCAGCTTTAACTGGGACCGCCTGGCGTCCTGGATCAACCTGACGGAGCAGTGGCCCTACAGGACGTCCTGGCTCATCCTGTACCTGGAGGAGACCGACGGAGTCCCGGACCAGGCCACGCTGAAGACCATCTACGAGAGGTAGGACGCCACACACTCATTGTTAAAGGAGCAGTATGTAACTCTGACCCCTAGTGGTTAAAACGGGTACTGCAGTCTAAACATGGTAGAGACTCGTCTGTTTCCTCTCTCAGAGTGTCCAAGAACATCCCAACCACCAAAGACGTGGAGCCGCTGCTCGAGATCGACGGGGACGTCCGCAGCTTCGAGGTCTTCCTGTCGTCCAGAACGCCCGTCCTGACCGCCAGAGACATCCGCACGTTCCTGCCCTGCACCGTCAACCTGGACCCCAAACTCAGGGAGATCATAGCGGGTAAAAACTCTCACAACTAGAACCTCTATAGATATGATTACTGTCCTTATGGGAGGATCAAAGCAGGATTTAAACAACAAGTTCAACAAACAGATTCAGACGCAGCGTTATTAACCCTCAGGCATTTAATTCACTACCCTCTGAAGTCCATAAGGACAAAAATGTCCACTTCCAAAAAACTGATATAAAAATAGAACAGATTGATATTTTTTTCTACTTTTTTCTGCATAAATCTCTTAAACAACTTCAGCCCTGCCTAAACTTTTTATTGTTTTCCATTTAACAAATATTTGGTGGCTGGGGGATTTTTTTAAAATCAGTCTTGGATATGTCAAAGATTATCCAAAATATTGACTTTGATGCATTGTTAGTTTTTGTGTAGCATCAGATTTAAAATGTAGTTCCCTGTTTGGACATTGGAGGGCAAAAATGTCCAATTTACAAAAACTGATATAAAAATAGAACAGATTGATATTTTTTTCATAAATCTCTTAAACAACTTCAGCCCTGCTCAAAACTATCAACTATTGAATAATTATCAGGAATGTAACCCTTTAAATGCCAGAATCATAACTGGGTTAAGGGTTAAATTCCTGATAATTACTTTTTATTAGAAAAAAATATCAATCTGTTCTATTTTTATAGCAGTTTTTTGGAAGTGGACATTTTTTGTCCTTATTGACTTCAGAGGGTAGTAAACATGTTTCTCAGTCTTCTATTGATCTATTAAAAAAATAAAATATTCATTCCAAAATGTGTCAAGAGAGTCTTTCTTACATAAAATGTGTTCCATATGCACTAACAGACAAAATGATGGACAGATGAAGAGGAAACATTTGACCAAATGGATTAAAATGTCCATAATGATGCATGAGGGTTAAAGTACAGTAACACAAACACCTGTGGCAGGTGTGTTTATGACAGCTTTAAACTCATGATGTCACTAACACGACTCTTCGCCTCTCGCTCATCCAGACGTCCGAGCTGCTCGGGAGCAGATGAATATAGGCGGGGTTACGTACCCGCCCCTCGCAATGCAGGAGGCTCAGCCCCGCCCCACCTCCATGTACTCTCAGGTGTCGTCGGCGTGCTCTCCATCCGCCTCCTTCAGCGGACCGTTCAACCAACCAGGAGGGGGTGTGGTCTCCCCACAGCCTCACAGCAGCTACTACAGCGGCATGGCCGGACCGCAGCACCCCTTCTACAACAGGGTGAGTACAGGCCCCGCCCACAGGCTGATGATGTCATTCAAACTGACAGGTACAGGTAGACAGGGTTTGTCTAAAGTTCACATTCAGTCTCACACGAGTTGCCGTGGACTCACCTGGTTGGTAAGGTTGTGATGTCATCGCCTGGCTGCTCACCTGGTTCAGTTTCACCTTTTTTCATTTGTGTTTATGTTGTTTTTGGGTTTACAGTGAATATCTGCTGTCCTTAAACCAACCAATCAGAAAGCAGATTAATTTAAAGCTTCACTCCCCTCCTTGTAGCACCTGGTCATTTTAACATAGAGCTCTATGGAGACTGACTCGCTGCAGGAGACAGACTCTAGTGGACACTGGAGGAACTGCAGCTGTAAAGTTAGACATTTTAACATGGAGCTCTATGAGGACTGACTCACTGCAGGAGACAGACTCTAGTGGACACTGGAGGAACTGCAGCTGTAAAGTTAGACATTTTAACATAGAGCTCTATGAGGACTGACTCACTGCAGGAGACAGACTCTAGTGGACACTGGAGGAACTGCAGCTGTAAAGTTAGACATTTTAACATAGAGCTCTATGAGGACTGACTCACTGCAGGAGACAGACTCTAGTGGACACTGGAGGAACTGCAGCTGTAAAGTTGAACATTCAGAGATTCACTGTCTCATCTCTTACGTTGACTCCTCCTCCTTCTTGTTGCACGTTGAATCATCTCCATAAACATTATTTTGATTTTCTGCCCCTCCCCCTCCTTCAGCCATATTTCCCCCATCACCTTTACCAGCTGCCCCGCCCACTCGTGACCACTTCCTACACATCACACCTCCATCCACGCCCACCTCGCAAAAACTCCTTCAGCCGGGACGCCGTGGCACCTGTGAGTACGAAACACACCTGAACCTGAGCTCATGGAGGGTTCAGAACTCATGATCTGTTATTATCACATGTTGTATTTTATTTAGAAAGACTAAACAGAACCAATCAATTGAGCTTCTCAACTATTGGAGAGACAGGACAGCGAGTAGAAACCAGAGGGGGGGGGGGCGTCCGTCTGATGCTCGGAGGTTGATCGGAAACGTTTGGATGTCTTTTTTTCTTCTTCACTTTTTTCTGGCACCAACGAGCCTCCGTATCCTCGAGAGTTTAACTAACCTTCAGCTTTTAGTTTATAACTGTTTTTCTTCTTCTGCTGTTTTCAACAACAAGATGACGCTCCGCTCTTCTTCTTCTCGTTCCTCTTCTTCCTCTTCTTCTCCTTCTAGTTCCTCCTCTTCTTCTTCTTCTTCTCCTTCCTCTTCTTCTTCTTCTGTGGTTTTTGAAACTTGTCAGTAATGTTTTAAAAAGTGTCCTTTCTGGTTTCTTCTGTTGAACCTGAGATCATGAAGATCAAAACCTTCTCCTGTCTCTTCCTGCCCGTCAGTCACCTGTTGTTCTCCAGATGTTTCTCTCCAGCTGTGCATCATTCCTCACCTGTCTGCTTGTCTACCTGTCTGTCTGTCTCTCTGTCTGTCTGCCTCTCTGTCTGTCTGCTTGTCTGTCTGTCTGTCTGTCTGTCTGCAGTATAAGGTTTCATCTTTAAAAAGGAAGCAGGTATTGAACTCTCCCTAACTTAACCTCCTTCCTTCCTTCCTTCCCTCTCTCCTGACTCCTTCCTGTACATTCCCACTTTATAGCCTAACTCCCTCTGAAGTGCTCGGCCCACTACAACTCCCAGCATGCACCTTGCCTGCCTGAATTAGCCTGTAGCTTCAGTAAAGTAGAAATCTTCCTCTGTCTCACTGAGCTACCTGTCTCCTCCCACCTGTGTCACCCCTCACCTGTCTCCCCTCACCTGTGTCACCCCTCCCTGTGTCACCCCTCACCTGTCGCCCCTCACCTGTCTCCCCTCACCTGTCGCCCCTCACCTGTCTCCCCTCACCTGTCTCCCCTCACCTGTGTCACCCCTCACCTGTCACCCCTCACCTGTCGCCCCTCACCTGTCTCCCCTCACCTGTCGCCCCTCACCTGTCTCCCCTCACCTGTGTCACCCCTCCCTGTGTCACCCCTCACCTGTCGCCCCTCACCTGTCTCCCCTCACCTGTCACCCCTCACCTGTCGCCCCTCACCTGTCTCCCCTCACCTGTCGCCCCTCACCTGTCTCCCCTCACCTGTGTCACCCCTCCCTGTGTCACCCCTCACCTGTCTCCCTCACCTGTCGCCCTCACCTGTCGCCCCTCACCTGTGTCACCCCTCACCTGTGTCACCCCTCACCTGTCGCCCCTCACCTGTCTCCCCTCACCTGTCGCCCCTCACCTGTGTCACCCCTCACCTGTCGCCCCTCACCTGTCGCCCCTCACCTGTCTCCCCTCACCTGTCGCCCCTCACCTGTGTCACCCCTCACCTGTCGCCCCTCACCTGTGTCACCCCTCACCTGTCGCCCCTCACCTGTCACCCCTCACCTGTCGCCCCTCACCTGTCGCCCCTCACCTGTGTCACCCCTCACCTGTGTCACCCCTCACCTGTCGCCCCTCACCTGTTTGTTATGCCTGATCCTGAGATATAAAACGTGTTTTAATGTCGTCCACATTTAGAAAAGGTCTCTGAACGAGTTTCAGTCCACAGATTGAAAGTCGTTTCTTTCAGACGTTAAATCCTGCTAACTGGCTAACTGGCTAACTGGCTAACTTTAATAACGTTATATTTACTTTGTGATTATTCGTCTCTCTGACCTCCAGAATAAACACGTCACTAACGCCGGCGTCTGCTTGGCGAGGTTTCCTCTGAAATATAAAACGTGTTTCGTTGTTTCGTTGTGGAGGTCAAAATTGAGACTGTTTGTGTTCAGGGCTCCGCCTCCGTGGTGTCCGGCGTTCCCGCCATCCTCCTCAGCTCCATGACGACAGAGTCCGTTTGTGAACGCGTGCGGCAGATCGAAGGCATCGACCAGAGCATGATGGGACATTACAGCGCCACCATCAGGAAGGTGAGTGAACTGCACACACACGCAGGATGCCGGTCAGGACGCAGGTCAGGACGCAGGTCAGGACGCCGGTAAAGGTCATGATATCACACGTGTTGTTGTTTTCTAGGCGAACGTGAACGGCAGAGTGTTGTCTCAGTGTAACATCGACGAGCTGAAGAAGGAGATGAGCATGAACTTTGGAGACTGGCAGCTGTTCAGAGCCACGGTCAGTACACGCCGCCAACACGTCCAGCTGTAGGAGCTAGCATGCTAACGTGCTAACGAGCTAACACGCTTCACCTCCTGCAGGTTCTGGACATGCGGATCATCGAGAGTCAGGTGCTGCAGGAGGAAGCTGCCAGTGAGCAAGGCAGCGTGGTGGGCCGTCACACTGAGGCAGGAAGGCGAGCCGTGGCTCCGCCCCACGCCGGCGCCGCCAACACGGACGCTTCCCCGATGTACAGTTTCAACCTGAGCTTCGAGGAGCTGAGCAACGTGGGATTGGACGAGCCGGCACGTCATGGCAACATGCCGTGGATGGTAATCAAACCACGACTTTTAGTCAAATCTGGCAAAGGGTGAGGGGCGACAGGTGAGGGGCAACAGGTGAGGGGTGGCACAGGTGAGGGGCAACAGGTGAGGGGTGGCACAACAGGTGAGGTGAGGGTGGCACAGGTGAGGGGCAACAGGTGAGGGGCGACAGGTGAGGGGCGACACAGGTGAGGGGCGACAGGTGAGGGGCGACACAGGTGAGGGGCGACACAGATGAGGAATGACAGGTGAGGGGTGACACAGGTGAGGAGTGACACAGGTGAGGGGCCACAGGTGAGGGGCCACAGGTGAGGGGTGACAGGTGAGGGGCGACAGTGAGGGGAAACAGGTGAGGGGCCACAGGTGAGGAGCGACAGGTGAGGGGAGACAGGTGAGGGGTGACACAGGTGAGGGGCGACACAGATGTGGGGTGACACAGGTGAGGGGCGACACAGGTGAGGGGCGACAGGTGAGGGGTAACAGGTGAGTGGTGGCACAGGTGAGGGGCAACAGGTGAGGGGTGGCACAGGTGAGGGGCAACAGGTGAGGGGTGACACAGGTGAGGGGCGACAGGTGAGGGGCGACACAGGTGAGGGGTGACAGGTGAGGGCGACAGGTGAGGGGTGGCACAGGTGAGGGGTGACAGGTGAGGGGCGACACAGGTGAGGGGCGACAGGTGAGGGGCGACACAGGTGAGGGGCGACACAGATGAGGAACGACAGGTGAGGGGTGACACAGGTGAGGAGTGACACAGGTGAGGGGCCACAGGTGAGGGGCCACAGGTGAGGGGTGACAGGTGAGGGGCGACAGGTGAGGGGAAACAGGTGAGGGGCCACAGGTGAGGAGCGACAGGTGAGGGGAGACAGGTGAGGGGTGACACAGGTGAGGGGCGACACAGATGTGGGGTGACACAGGTGAGGGGCGACACAGGTGAGGGGCGACAGGTGAGGGGTAACAGGTGAGTGGTGACATGTGAGGGGCCACAGGTGAGGGGTGACAGGTGAGGGGCGACACAGGTGAGGGGCGACAGGTGAGGGGCGACACAGGTGAGGGGCGACAGGTGAGGGGTGACAGGTGAGGGGCGACACAGGTGAGGGGCGACATGTGAGGGGTGACACAGGTGAGGGGCGACAGGTGAGGGGTAACAGGTGAGGGGCGACACAGGTGAGGGGTGACACAGGTGAGGGGTGACACAGGTGAGAAACGACAGGTGAGGGGCGACAGGTGAGGGGCGACACAGGTGAGGGGCGACATGTGAGGGGTGACACAGGTGAGGGGTGACACAGGTGAGGGGCGACAGGTGAGGGGTGACACAGGTGAGGGGCGACAGGTGAGGGGTGACACAGGTGAGGGGCGACAGGTGAGGGGCCACAGGTGAATTTAACTGACAGTAAACTAACTGCTGCTGTTGTGGGCGTGTCCTCAGGGTGGCGCTCACAGGACTGCCAGCATGACCAGCCTGAACTCTCAGGAGTCGTCCAACGACATCGGCAAGCTGACCGACAAGCAGCAGTCCGAGTACCGCAACGCCTACCAGGAGTACATCGCCCAGATGGCTCAGCTGGAGATGGGCGGCGGCGGCGGGGAGCGGCCCGTCCAACCACAGCCGGGTCAGTTCATGACATCATCATCAGAGGACAAGAACAAAGACGGCGGCGAGCAGGATGCGTCCAAGTCGTACAATAAGAGGAGCAGCGGGAAACCGCCGGCAGACAACACGGACTTCGCCTCCAACGGGGACGCTCTGGATCCAATCACCGAGGAGGACGAGAAGGGTGAGCACGGATCCTCCAAGTCCCTGCTGACCCGCAAGACCTCAGCGGAGAGGGGCGGGCTGTTCCAGGGCGCCGCCGCGGACCTGAAGCTGAAGGCGGCAGGCGGGCTGCGATACCAGAAGCTGACCAGTGACGACGAGGAGTCGGAAGAGTCCGATAACGCCCCGCTCCTCAAAGACGGGAAGAAGCTGGTCGACCACAAACTGCCCGGCGGCTCGCTCGCTCTGAAGGGGAAGGACTACCTGTCGGACGCCATGTTGGACAAGAAGGACTCGTCTGACTCGGGCGTCCGTTCCAACGAGAGCTCACCAAACCACTCGCTGCAGGACGAGGAGGCGGACCTGTCCCAGCTGGAGCGGGCCAACCTGATCCAGCTGGACGAGGAGAGCCAGGCCAGGAAGTGCAGCGTTCCTAGCAGCCTCAGCGGCCTGCAGGACCCGGCGGTCGCCCGCATGTCTATCTGCTCTGAGGACCAATGCAGCCTGCTCGCCAGCTCGCCCCGAGGAGAGCTGGCCATCCTCCAAGTCCTTCAACCTGAACCGCACGCCCAGCAACGTCACGCTCAACAACAACACCAACGCCCAGCACGGTATCCACGGCAACCGACCCCGCCCACCCGCAGAGGGCTCCACCTCCTCCTCCTGCAACCCGACCTCCTCCTCCTCCAGCGACGCCATCATCTCCCCGAGCTCGGGCACCTCCACCACCTCCTCCACCGCCACCCGCCCCGGGCCCAACAACGAGAACGTGCGAGTGGTCCACCTGAAGAGGGGTCTGAAACCCGGCGACCCGCCCGAGATCTGCACCGTGTCCTCCGACACCGTCACCTTTGGCGAGGAGCGCGAGAGCATCCTGTGACCTCAGCGTGACCCCGAGGGTCCACCTGGAGCCGAGTGTGACGAGTGCTACTGATTGGCTCAAAAGTTCTTATCTTAGATTTAGTGTGTGACTGTGACTCGTAGTTTAAGTCTGCGGCGAGGTCGTCACGATACACGATATCGATACCTGTTTGTTACCACGGCAACAAAAATAGAAGTCGTATAAGCTGATCAGAAATCTAAAGTTCTGTCTTAAACAACAACGTACATCGGGCAGGTCTTCATTCCTGACCCTCTGTTAAGCCCCGCCCTCCTGGTTACTGTTGCTAGGTTAGATTTAAGCTCTAAACCGTTAAAAACACCTCGAGGTCTAATCGAGTTTTATTCATATTTAATCGATCAGAGACGGCACGGCGTGCGAGGAGAACATTTAGTGACGGCTATCGTTACATTTTTCAGAAAGGCGCCGTTGTTGACGTCAGCGGCGTTCTTTTTCCCGTATCTGTGCGTTCTACAGATCGTGTCTTGTACCCACTTCCTCCTCGCGCCGCAGTGTCGTCACACAGCTCTCTGTCTCCATGACAACAGACTCTGTTGTCATGGAGACAGGATGGACATGCAGCGCTTTTCTGAGAAGACGCCACGTGGACATGTGGCCTTAGAGTCACTCCCCGACCACCGGATGTAGCCCGGCAACGGTTGCTATGAGAGGGGGCTCTCTGATTGGAGGGTCAGCTGACAAAATCAGAGAGCCAACAAAGGGTTAATAAAACAAACACGCGGTGTCTAAAGTATCGTAGATCATGATGACCTTTGACCTCTGACAGTGAATCAGTGTTCAGCCTGCTGCATGCTAACAGGCCGAGAAGTAGAAGAAGCTAACGTAGAAAACAAGAAGCTAACGTAGAATCCAGAAGCTAACGTAGAAAACAAGAAGCTAACGTAGAAAACAAGAAGCTAACGTAGAAACAAGAAGCTAAAGTAGAAACCAGAAGCTAACGTGACGATGCTGCATGTTGTTGTTGTTGTTGTTGTTTGTCGTCTCCGATACGTTTGATTTTTTGTCTGAGCATTCGGAGAGAGACGAGACGAGAGGGGGCGCCGCCCCCTGGTGGTCACTCTCTAAACTCTAAACGACCACTAGATGGCATTGTGAGACTGATCCGTTGCGGTGATATTTAGAACGTGTGGCATGTGCGGCGTGATGCAGCTAAAAGTCGGTGACGTGTTGGGACGTCTGTGAGGAGAACACGACACGTCACGTTTTCAACCAATGATTTATCTTTAAATCTGTTCACACGCCTCACAGCGTGAGACGACCTTCCATCACGACGTGACGAGGCGGCCAGGTCCACGAAGAAGAACATGAGGGAGGAGCAAGACGCAGAACGCTCCGGAGGCGGGGTGAAGTTTAGTGTAAGCGGCGTTCAGCGTTTCAGAAGCTTTCTTTAAAGAGGTCATATTATATTTAATCTATGTACCTACTAAAGTCTGTTCACACAACCCATATAAACCAGTATAAACCAGTTTAAACCAGTATAAACCAGTATAAACCAGTATAAACGGTTTAAAGAGGGGGTTAGTGTTTGTCATGTTTTCATGCTCCGGCTCGCTTCTGACTCTCTCTAAGGCTCTGAAGCGGCTAATGCTAAAGCTAACAGGAGGACGTAGGAGAAGCTGCGTTTACACAGACTTTAAATTTTTGCACATAGATGTTCCTAAACATGCACAGGACACTTAGAAAACACACTAAAGAGCAGATACAACCAGAAGAAGAAGAATATGGGACCTTTAAAACTTCTAAGCGCCTTCAGTTTAAAAAGTTTGAAGAAGCATAAACATGAGACGTCATCGAGGAGCCGCAGAGTGAAGACGATCTGAACGCCGTTTGAACTCCGACTGAAGTATCAGATCAGATGTTGTGTTCGAGTGTCGTCTGTAAATCTGAACGCTCAGATGTTGTGTTCGTGTGTCGTCTGTAAATCTGAACGTTCAGATGTTGTGTTCGAGTGTCGTCTGTAAATCTGAACGCTCAGATGTTGTGTTCGTGTGTCGTCTGTAAATCTGCACGCTCAGATGTTGTGTTCGTGTGTCGTCTGTAAATCTGAACGTTCAGATGTTGTGTTCGTGTGTCGTCTGTAAATCTGAACGTTCAGATGTTGTGTTCGTGTGTCGTCTGTAAATCTGAACGTTCAGATGTTGTGTTCGTGTGTCGTCTGTAAATCACGTAAATCATCTTTAAGCATGCTGAAGTTAATTTAATGTGTTGATGTGAAATAAATAAACCTGGATGTTGAACGTTCTCTGACTTTTATTTCTGAACCTCGCTGCCCGGACCCTGAAGAACCACGTCCAAGACACCCGGCCCGTTGAAAAGGTTTCTAAGCGTGCTGAATTCTAACGAGGCGTGAAATTTAATTTAACATTTTTTATTGATTTGATTAAAGCTTACATCTTTTTAGACTCTTTATGGACCAAAAGGAAAAACTTTGAACAGAAACTTAAAAACGTTGCAACATTAATGTGTCTGAAGTCAGACCCGGTCCACACCACACGGAGGATTTTAAAACAGCTGGTTTGTGAAAATGTGAAATCAACCAATGAGAGGGTGACGATCTTCAGAGTCAGATCCAAACACTTCAGGGAAAAGAGTCTGCTCGTTAAAACTTTAAACTGCTCACAGACCTTCAGCGACTCCAGCACACTGAAGACGACCGGCCGAGTCCTCCAGGAAGGTTTTGAAATAAAAAGGTTCCTGCAGGTGAACTTTGTGGATGTTCACTCGTCCTCGTTTCAAACATCTGCAACATGAAAATGTAAAACAGGTGACAAGAAAAACGTTGAAGGGCAAATTCAGAATCAGTTAAAATGTCCAGGACGCATCAAGTCTGCAGCTCCAGAGACTCAAGGGTTAACATCTGGTAGGAGAGGTCTGTGTGTGTGTGTGTGTGTGTGTGTGTGTGTGTGTGTGTGTGTGTGTGTGTGTGTGTGTGTGTGTGTGTGTGTGTGTGTGTGTGTGTGTGTGTGTGTGTGTGTGTGTGTGTGTGTGTGTGTGTGTGTGTCTAACATATATTTTAATATGTGAGGCGGCTGCAGGTCGTGTTTTGCATGGTCCTGCTGCATGAAGGATCAGAGAGATAAGATGCAGTGTGAGAGCAACACACACACACACACACACACACACACACACACACACACACACACACACACACACACACACACACACACACACAGCATTCAGTAAGACAACAACAAAAACAATAAATAAAAAGATTGATATGTGAACAGATCTAAGTGTTAAATATTGAGAGGAAGATGCAACTGCACCACCTAGAGGCTGAACAGGTTATTACATCAACTTAAAACAACACACACTGTCCACCAGGGGAAGCAACAGACCAGGTCACACACACACACACTTCCTCCTCCTCCTCCTCCTCCTCCTCCCTGTGGTCGTCCTTTGTACTGATCATTTGATACTCTGTGGTGTCATTTCCATATTTTGAAAAGCCTCCTCCTGTTTTACAGCAGGGCTGCAGCAGAGAGAAGTTAAAGTTTGACAGGAGCGCTCACTCCTCTCTCTCTTTTATTGTCTGTTTAAAACCTGCTGCATCTTTTATCTCCTCTGATGGTAAAACGTCTTGTTGACCTCCATGACTTCTGTGTAACCTCCTGTTCTCATTACCCATAAGCCACGGCGTTGCTCTCAATTATCCGGAGCAGAATCCTCAGATTTTTCAGACTGGAGAGGATCCAGCAGAGCGCTCAGGCTGTCTCTGATGTGCTGCCAAATATCTGATCAGCCAAGTATTTCCTCTGCTACACATGATTACTCGACTGCTGCTCCCGGGATGGAAAACTCTCAGGATCAAAGTTTCAGAAAGAGAACTTAAGAAAACACGTCCAGCTTTCTTCTGAAATTTTTCTTGTTGGGCTTCATGAGGTCCAGATGAGAAACAAATTCTGTACAGAAAAAGAGAGTCTCATAGCGCCGCAATTTTAACTGACTCACTGCAGGAGACAGACTCTAGTGGACACTGGAGGAACTGCAGTTGTAAAATTGTCCATTTTAACATGGGGCTCTATGGGGACTGACTCATTGCAGGAGACAGACTCTAGTGGACACTGGAGGAACTGAAGCTTTAAAGTTTGACATTTTAACATAGAGCTCTATGGAGACTGACTCACTGCAGGAGACAGACTCTAGTGGACACTGGAGGAACTTCAGTTGTAAAGTTAGACATTTTAACATGGGGCTCTAAGGGAACTGACTCACTGCAGGAGACAGACTCTAGTGGACACTGGAGGAACTGCAACTTTCTAGTTGGACATTTTAACATGGGGCTCTAAGGAGACTGAGTCACTGAGGGGACAGACTCTAGTGGACACTGGAGGAACTGCAGCTGTAAAGTTGTCCATTTTAACATAGAGCTCTATGGGGACTGACTCACTGCAGCAGAAAGACTCTAGCGGACACTGGAGGAACTGCAGCTGTAAAGTTGGACATTTTAACATGGGGCTCTAAGGGGACTGACTCACTGCAGCAGAAAGACTCTAGCGGACACTGGAGGAACTGCAGCTGTAAAGTTGGACATTTTAACATGGGGCTCTAAGGGGACTGACTCACTGCAGCAGAAAGACTCTAGTGGACACTGGAGGAACTGCAGCTGTAAAATTGGACATTTTAACATGGGGCTCTAAGGGGACTGAGTCACTGAAGGAAACAGACTCTAGTGGACACTGGAGGAACTGCAGCTGGAAAGTTGGACATTTTAACATGGGGCTCTAAGGGGACTGACTCACTGCAGGAGACAGACTCTAGTGGACACTGGAGGAACTGCAGCTGGAAAGTTGGACATTTTAACATGGGGCTCTAAGGGGACTGACTCACTGCAGGAGACAGACTCTAGTGGACACTGGAGGAACTGCAGCTGTAAAGTTGGACATTTTAACACAAGGCTCAATGGGGACTGAGTCACTGCAAGAGAAAGACTCCAGTGGACAATGGAGGAACTGCAGCTGTAAAGTTGTCCATTTTAACATAGAGCTCTATGGGGACTGACTCATTGCAGGAGACAGACTCTAGTGGACACTGTAGGAACTGCAACTTTCTAGTTGGAAACTTTTACACTGGGCTCTGAGGGAACTGACTCACTGCAGGAGACAGACTCTAGTGGACACTGGAGGAACTGGAGGAACTGCAGTTGTAAAGTTGTCCATTTTAACATAGAGCTCTATGGGGACTGACTCACTGCAGCAGGCAGACTCTAGTGGACACTGGAGGAACTGGAGGAACTCCAGCTATAAAGTTGTCCATTTTAACATGGGGCTCTATGGGGACTGACTCACTGCAGGAGACAGACTCTAGTGGACACTAGAGAAACTGAAGCTGTAAAGTTGTGCATTTTAACTTGGGGCTCTATGGGGACTGACTCACTGCAGGAGACAGACTCCAGCGGATACTGGAGCAATTGCAGCTGTAAAGTTAGACATTTTAAAATGGGGCTCTATAGGGACTGACTCACTGCAGGAGACAGATTCTCGTGGACACTGGAGGAACTGCAGCTCTAAAGTTGTCCATTTTAACATTGGGCTCTATGGGGACTGACTCACTGCAGGAGACAGACTCTAGTGGACACTGGAGGAACTGCATTTTTTAAATTGGAAATTTTAACATGGGGCTCTAACGGGAACTGACTCACTGCAGGAGACAGACTCTAGTGGACACTGGAGGAACTGCAGCTCTAAAATTGGACATTTTAACATGGGGCTCTAAGGAGACTGGGTCACTGAAGGGGACAGACTCTAGTGGACACTGGAGGAATTGCAGCTGTAAAGTTGGACATTTTAACATGGGGCTCTATGGGGATTAACTCACTCCAGGAGACAGACTCTAGTGGACACTGGAGGAACTGCATTTTTAAAATTGGAATTTTTAACATGGGGCTCTATGGGGACTGACTCATTGAAAGGGAGCGACTTTAGTGGACACTGGAGGAACTGCAACTTTCGAGTTGGAAATTTTCACATGGGGCTCTAAGGGCACTGAGGGGGACAGACTCTAGTGGACACTGGAGGAACTGCAACTTTCTAGTTGGAAACTTTCACACTGGGCTCTAAGGGAACTGACTCACTGCAGGAGACAGACTCTAGTGGACACTGGAGGAACTGGAGGAACTGCAGTTGTAAAGGTGTCCATTTTAACATGGGGCTCTATGGGGACTGATTCACTGCAGGAGATAGACTCTAGTGGACACTGGAGGAACTGCAGCTGTAAAGTTGGATATTTTAACACGAGGCTCAATGGGGACTGATTCACTGCAGGAGACAGACTCTAGTGGACACTGGAGGAACTGCAGCTGTAAAGTTAGACATTTTAACACGAGGCTTAATGGGGACTGGTTCACTACAGGATACAGACTCTAGTGGACACTGGAGGAATTGCAGATGTAAAGTTGGACATTTTAACATGGAGCTCTATGAGGACTGACTCACTGCAGGATACAGACTCCAGTGGACTGTGGAGGAACTGCAATTTTCTAGTTGGAAACTTTCACACTGGGCTCTAAGGGAACTGACTCACTGCAGGAGACAGACTCTAGCAGACATTGGAGGAACTGGAGGAACTGCAGTTGTAAAGTTTTCCATTTTAACATAGAGCTCTATGGGGACTGACTCACTGCAGGA